CTCCTCCTCCTCCTCCTGCTCCTCCTCCTCCTGCTCCTCCTCCTCCTGCAGCTGCTAAACAACATGTATTTGACAAGATCAAAAGAGAAGAGCTCAGTCTCTTTTACATTATGTTTATACATACGCTAAGGGTTCATCGTATGCTGTTTGACAACAGTAAAGCAGCAACACACATGACTCTGTAGGCAACTTGTCTAATACGGAGGAAACTGGCCTGTTGTATTGTGCTGCCTCATACGTCTGAAATTAGTCCAAAGCAACTTTGGAATGATGTGATTTGAAAACAAGGGGGAGGTCATTGTTACTTGTTACAGACATCTGAAACACACCATAGAACAAAATAAGTGCTTGCAGCTGTTTGTATGACATCAACTACTACTGCAAATCACTGGAAACTACGGGTAATGTTCTTGGCACATACAAGTTTGTCTAGTCTCCTCTCATAGTCTAATCTCGCTATCCCATCACGAAGACAACCTGTGAGAACATGGCCACATCAAACATAAGGTGAACCATGGTGAACCGACCTGTGACCCATGACCTAAGATCTCGCTGTGCAAACTGTTGGGCTTATTGCCTTGCCTGGTTCGGAGAGAAGTTGAAGTCTTTGCAACTCTCATACGATAGTTCAAGCCATCCATCTTTGACCTCGCAGACAACTACAGAATCTCACTGTCCAAGTGGAAAGCTCTGTCATTTTCGTACCTCTCCGAACAAAAGAGATCCTTTGTGAACAAAACCGACCTGGCGCGCGGGGGATGGGGCAAAAGCAATTCCAATTTCCTTCGGTCTAGAGTCTAGATTCTACTAGTGACCGCATGGACCTTGACCTGGGTAGAGCTCGATGTTTGAATCCCGCTTTGCCACTCACAAGCTGCTGTACAAGACACTAAGTGTCTTTGGCTTCGCTGATAAAGTGGCTCTGTCACAGCAAGATCAAAGGCTCGAAGGCCAGAGGGAAGTGCTACCGTCTCACAAAGGCCGATGCTCCTCTTGCGTTGCTTTTGTTTAGCCACTTTTGCTGTCTTTGACTTCTGCTGCTGCCTTGGAGCCATGCTGCCAAATTGTGAGGCATTGGTGTGTCTGTCACTTCTAATCTGATCTCGCGGGTGTGCTGGTTTGTATAGATTTGCCAAGGCACATATTTCAGCAAGTTGATCCTGAGCAATCTCAGCTCGCTTGTTGACAGTTTGACGCTCGCTCGTCACTGGTTAAGCCAAGAGACAGGGACCAGCAAGCCGTATCTTGTTCTGAACCTCAGCGCCAAGCTGGAGGCTTTGCAACATCGGGCTGACCAGGTCTGCCAAGCATCCTGCGACTTTGAATATCCGTGGGTCGCAAATGTGGCGCACCATACTTGGTCACCACAGCCTGCTTGTGCGCGGCAAAATACAAATACTTGCTTGAGGTGCAATTGTGCTGCTTGGCCTCTACTGCCATACCCACGGCTTCTTCTTGAGAACTGAGTTGTTCATAAACTTGCCTTGGTCCACAGAGATCCACAGAGCCACTTTGGATTTCTTGGAGATTGAATGAACATGTATGGAAACAGTCCAGCTGTCCAACTTTGCTCTCGGCTGTGCAAGTTCGACCTCTACAACAGATGGAGGAAGCAATAGATCATTGATCACTCACTTCTTTCTAAGTAAAGTTGAGTCACTGAATTCACTGGTGCTCTTTCCTCATGTCAATTCTTTTCAGGAAGACTTGCATCCAGCTAAGATATGTGCGGCTTCAGGGCCACAACGCCGAGTGCAGCGTGTTAAGAAGGCGCTGTCATCTGAAGCATGTTGCCGGGTCCGTTGCCGCCCTCTCAATCTGTATATCTCTATCTACACTTCTCTGAATTGAAGAGTGAGGCGATTTGGGAGCCTAACGCATCAATGAAGTCAGTGCCGCCGCTTCTGCCGCTTTCATAGAGCCATCAAAAACAATCTGAGCTGCAAGACTAACTAGCAGCTCTTGATGCTATCTTCGAAATGCATCTGCATACCCGCGAGCCTCTTCCTCTTCAGGCATATCAGCGGCAATTTCAGAGAAATCCCTGCAATGAAGAAGCATTAACAATCTATCCAAATCAGTACTGGCTCCTCATTGCACCTCTTGTATTCAATCAGATCAGGCTTCAAAGGGATTCGCACTCCCAGTAGCTTGTTAGCTGTTGAAGGTCAGGTCTGGTAGGCGTCCGTAAATGCACATCATAGAACGATGAAGAGCAAGCAAGGCCCATCTAAATATCAATGATTGTAAAAGTGTGCATTGCGATTGGCCGGCGATTGGCTGGGGACTAGTAATTAATGCATTTGCTACAGAATATGTTATATTATACAATATATGATATATTATATGCATCTATTCTCAACAGTGCATTTTTTCGTGGATCTATCCATCTATGGAAATGTGCGACCGTGCCGCGATTGGTCAGGGATTGTGCGACCCCCCGCCAAATGCACCGGCAATCTGACGCCTTCCATCAGCCATCTTCGTGGGAAAGATCTAAAGCAGTGCCGTATCTCAAGGTCTGAAGCCGTTGAATCAAAGTGCTTCTAGTACCACATCAATCTTCAAAGGCTCTACTGATGCTCAAGGTGTGGTTTTCAGGATGCCCGCCCTCCAGCTTTTCTGTGCTGGCTGAACCAAAATGATGCCACGATCAAAAAAGACATGGAGCTGAACACAATGATTGTGAGTGCAAGTTGAAGTCTTGGAGTTTGAAGAAAGAAGCAAAAATAAAAAAAAATCTAACGTATTTTAGAACTGTTTGCAGGTGCAAATTGAACCTTGGAGTTTTGACAAGGCCACTTTGCCAAGGCGGGCAATGAGAATTGCACGTGTGTAAAGCTGGAGCTATATAATATAACTTTACTGCAAGAAGAGCCAAATAAGGAGGTCCACCGGCGCCGCAGTTGTACATGGCTGTTGGCGAACATACACTGTGGCCACAATAACCTGCAGACTGCCAAGTACAGCAGCACCGCAATGCTTCACAGAACCAATGGTAATGAAGAAAGATAAGAAAGGTTCAAAATGGCCTGATACTGCCCACAAACGACCTAAGCTGCTGAGTAGGAGCAAGTTCGGATGGTAATACTAGTAATGCTGAGTAATACTGCAAAACATTCCGGGTCAAGGTTCAAGCGGGGCTGCTTTCCTCTGTCATTGGCCTGCAGCGCCATCAGTCAAAAGAGGTCAATGACTCGATTCTGACAAAATGAGCGATGCAATGTGTGTGCTTGTCAATGCTAATGTGTGCTTGTCAATGCTAAACCGCACATGTTGGCGTACGCCGACGGGACACACGCGACACACCATGTCTTCCAAAAGGAAAGTGTCCTGTACAAATTGAACAAACCTCCAGTTTGCTGTGCATGTACAGGAGGAAAGGGCAAACACGCTCTCCTCACAACGGTGATGTGCAAACAGCTTCCGTGGAGCTGACTTCAGCAATGGAACGACCAACACAGAGTACTACATCTGTCTGCATTTACTGTGTGTGCCTCTTTCGGAGCATTTTGTTTCAACATGGAGTTGGTACAATATCTTTTGGACACATGGTTTTAGCTTCCCTGAGCTGTGGCTGTAACTAAATCCATGGTCATTGTCCTTGCTGAATCTCCTCCAGAAACACAGCTGATGTTCTGTCCACAATTCACATTAGGATCTTGTGGGACGAACAACCGATTCCCAAATTAGCTTGGGTGAAGCAGGTTACTGTTAAGCCTTGCAAGAAGCTAAACGATGCAGCCAATTCCTGATCTTTATTCCTTTAAACGTTTAACGTCAAAAGGATCACCGCTTGACTTTCAACTGACTTCATTGATGCATGGATGTTGCCCCTTATACCCTTGCATACATCATTTCAGTTGTTTACTGTTCCATTCTTGAATTTCTTGCCATCCAGCAACAAACGCGTAAACAATTAACACGTTCAGTTTCGTTGTGAACTATTGTGCAACAGCTGTTCAATCGGCGCCTCAGTGCCTATCTTTTTCTACTGCGGGAACTCTTGGACGGTCAAACTTTGAGTGCAGCATTATGAAATTTCTTCATGATGTGTGTCTATGCTATGTGTATTTGTCTGCTCACACGGTGTCTATTCTGTATACGTCTGCATACAGCAAAGCACTACCAGCGAGATTCTGAAGACTTCGACTATTGGATTTGCTGGCCTGCTGCCCTTGCTGCCCTGCCCTTGCAAGCCGCCCACTGACACCTATCGCGCTCAAACTAGCTCGATGCACATTCCTGTTTTGGCCAATGTGAGCCTCATGCAGAGAGCGGGGATGCCCGCACCGGCGGCAGGGCTCCTCAATCTGTTTTTCATCTCCATCCGTTTCTATGTAGCAGGGCTGTGGGTCTCCTGGGCATCCTCTTCACACAAAGCTCTCTCCTCAAAGACCTTTGGCCGGATGCTTCACTGAATGACATGATTCACATATTCATACAATCTTCAGAAATGAACTGTCGAAGAACTCGTGTTTGCGCATTGCTAAAGGTGATGCGAAAGGCCTTAAAGTTTCTGCAGGCTGTTGAAGATTGCCCATGGACAGCAGCTTTCAAGGAAGACTCCTGCTGCGAACAGAAGAATAGTTCAAACGTGAGCCCGCGAAGTGAAAGCTTGCGTCTCGATCTGAAATGCATGCCAGCAGGACTCCACTTCCTAGCATTGGTGCTATTGTTTTGTCCATGTTCAGGCACTGCATCTCTGTCCATGCACCCTCAAACCTGAGTCGCCACCAGCCAAAGAAGCATTGGCCGCACAAGCGAACACTGGTCAAAAACAGTACAGTGAATAAAATGCCAAGCAGCTTCACTCCGGTGGGAGTTGTTAGTGAATATACACTGGCCCTGACCTCAGAAGCAGCACATATGTCCTTCTCACGAGTTTGCATCATCTTCCGAAAATGAATTTTGATACTTCCCGACATTCGCACAATGCAAGTCCTTTTGTGATGTAAACTGAGATGGTTGCCCGGACCTTCAACGTTGCACCCGCACGCATGCCACCCAGCAAAGCATCAGTCTGGCGCTGATCAAATTTCAACTCAGCCCCCTTCTGCAAAAAAAAACATAAGAACACTGAGCAAAGCCTTTCCAAGTTCAACATCCATTTTGCCAACTCCACCTGAAGGCTGATGAGTGTGGGCCAAATGCATGAGAGTCGTGACACATTGTTGACACGTGTGGCCGCAAGGTTTCGCCGGGATGAACCCTGATGGATGGCCTGAGAGGATTTAGGTGTAGAGTTGCTGTGGCAGGTCATGGTGTAATGTATGCTTGCATTACCATGAAACAATGAAGTGAAGAGAGTTGTGAGAAGGTGAGAGTGAAAGTGAAGGAGAGAGTGAGAAAAGGATGACATGAAAAGGGTGTTCACAGGAGGAGGGAAGCAAAGATGTCTTCCAGTCAAAGTTCATGCCGGCTTGTATGCATGGTTGCACTAAAATGTGTTGGATTTGGGTCCTGCCCCAATGATGTCTTCCAGTCGAGGTTTGAAGATGTGTGCGTTTTCGCTAAATGTATGCATTCAGGTCAATGCTTAAGCGGGCAATGCATGGATTCAGGTCCTGCCCAAATTAAGTCGAGAGGAGAGGAAAGGAGAGGAGGGGAGAGAGGAGAGAGGAGAGAGGAGAGAGGAGAGAGGAGAGAGGAGAAACGAGAGAGGAGAGAGGAGAGAGAGAGAGAGGAGAGAGGAGAGAGGAGAAACGAGAGAGAGAGGAGAGAGGAGAGAGGAGAGAGGAGAGGAGAGAGGAGAGAGGAGAGAGGGAGAGAGAGGAGAGAGGAGAGAGGAGAGAGGAGAGAGGAGAGAGGAGAGAGGAGAGGTGTCATCCTTGCACAAAATTAATGTCATTCGACATGGCCATGCCTAGTGGACAAAAATAGTTTAACCTTAGATTTTCCGACTTTTTGGTGTGAGTCGAGTCTTTGGGGATGAGTCTGGATAGCGGGTTGTGTGTGGAATAGTGGAGCATTCTTGTCCAGAGGTGTCAACCTGGAACAAACATATGTCATTGAAAATGGTCTGCCCCACAGGACACATTTTCTGTCACATCAGTTTTTCATCAAGTGTGGTGTGAGTCGGGTCTTTGGATCTAAGTCTGGGTGTGGAGGGTTGTGTGTGTGTGGAATGGTGTGGATTTTTGTCCATTTTTTGAGATTTTTTGAGTTGATTGTTGCTAAGAATTTCATTTAAAACATTTTTTGCTTTTTTTGCATTTTAAATCTCTTATCGAGATTTTAAATCTCTTTGGAAAGTCTTCCATTCCAAAACCTCTCTGGTGCAGGGTATTGAATTTTTTTGGTGAGTGTAAGTGTGAAAGCGCCAGTGTTCAAGTGTACGTGTCGAAATGTCAGTGTTCAAGTGCAAGTGTGGAAGTGTCAGTGTGTAAGTGTAAGTGTCGAAGTGTCAGTGTTCAAGGGATTTTCCGGAAGAACCCTTCGCAATGCTTTCGGGAAAAAGAGTGGTTGGGGAGGCCCAGTGCGAGTGCGAATGGCGCTGCGGCGCGGTGGGGTGGGATCTCGCAAGAGGGATCCGGCAAGTGGGACACGCCACGGGGGTCTTGCAAAGCTCGCAAAAAGATCTCGTGGAGGCAATCTCGCGTTCAGGGGAAATCCAAACGTAAAAACCCAGGCCCTAAACCCCACTCTCCCCCCGAACGCTAGAAAGGAAAGTGATGGTGCACCACTCCCACTGCACGTACTGACCCATCCACCGAAGGTCAATCCAGCCAAAGTCGGTCTCGCGAAGGGTAGTCTTCCTGCAGCTGCTTCTCGCAGCATCTTGATTTTCCTGACCTTCCCTCCCTGCGCATTGGAAAGAGAAGTTGAACCTATAGACGACGGTTGGCCCGAGAGCGAGACAGGTGATTGTCAAGCGCTTCCGAGTAAGTTAAAAACGAGTTGTCCAAGAGCCATGACTAAAAGATATGCAGAAAGAGAGAAAGAGAGGGCGGATGTGAAGGAGTGACAGTGTGGATGTGCAGCATAGATGTGCAGATGTGTGGGTGTGTGGAGGTAGAGAGGTAGACCTGCGGGTGTGAGCGCGTGAAGATGTAAATGTACAGAGGTGAGGGGGTGTAGACGTAGATGCGCAGATGAAATGGCAGCGCAACGTTATGGACGTAAGGGTGACGTCATGATCATGACAAGCGGATCACGTACTCCAAGAGAACATCGTTTGCCATGAAGTTGAAGTACACACATACTAACGTCACGATGACCTCTTTTTGGCAACCGCTGATCGCGTCATTTGAGTGATGATGTCGTGGGTTCGCCCCGAACAAACAGGAAGCCGCCAAGTCCGGAATTTTCTCAAGCCAACGCTTTGCTGGCTTCAATGTTGTGTCCTCCAACTGACACTTGATGTGAAAGACCTCTTGCTGTTGAAAGTATTGCGTCCAGTCTGTCGGCGCACCTTGGATCTCCATCTCACGCGCACACATGGTCACGACCACGGTGACCTTTAAAGACGAGGTCTCCACAATGTCTTGCAAGCTACACGCAGCTTTCGAACTCCCAGGCAACAGTGACGCTCGATCCGTAGGCCTGTAAATGACAGCAGCATCCAAAGGCCACTCTTCTATGGAGTTAAAGCTGTAGTTGTGTTGGTGCGTGACATAATCCAAATCATTGACGGAAAAAAGAAAAGCAAGCGCAGACGAGATCTACAGGAACATAGACATAGAATCACCACAAGAGCCGAAATCGGAGTCAGTGACAAACATGAGCACGCAATACTGCAACGTGCTCATCGTCATGACACCAGGTGTTTATTGACAATAAAGTCCCAAGCAACCAGGTGCTCTTTGTGCCCTCACACTACGCGGACAGTCCCTATCACAGCGAACAGGACGAGCAGCATGAAGGCCTTCATGCGGCAGCTCGGGTTCTAAGATATACAAATCAAAAACAAAATCATGCTGAGGGGATGCACGAACAGTCTCTATAACATCGCCAACCGCAGCGATTTTAAGAAACGCGACAAGCTACCGCTTGGCGCTTTTCACTTTGTTGGGCGTCGCTTCGATCAAGTGGACGGCATGCCTCTTCTTCGAAGAGATCATCTGCACCGCTGCGATGCTGCTGCGCTCCTCCCTAACGGCTTAACTTGAAAACCTTTTCCGCGACCAGAACCATGCCCGTGTCATCATCCTCCGCAGTCACTTTGCCGATCACCAGATGCACCTCGCCGTCAGACATGTTGAAGTGAATTGCCTGGGCCAGCTGACAAAAGGCCTCCATCCGAAAGCGTTTCTCCAGCGCCAGTACTTTCTCATACTGCAGCATGATGACCTTGTCATCCCCCGTGCCCGTCTCAACAAGCTTGGGTTCTTCATCTTCAGCCCGCGCCAGCACGGTGATGTAATTGGGAAATACTTGGCGATGTTTAGCTGTTGCTTGGTTGCTCTTTGACATTTTTGGATTCAAATTTTTGACATAGTCTGTGCGTAGTTCTTAGATTCAATTTCTCCTATCTAGTCGCAACAACTGGCAATCACATCTCACAATTCCGGTTTGTGGGCAACTTACTTGGTGTGTGTGTGTGTTTTTGATTTGTTGGCAACTCAGATCATGCTCATGGCGCACCGATATTCAAAAAATCTTTTAAGGCTCGCAGCTTGGCGCCGAAGCCGAAGCTAGAGAACAACAAGTCGTCATGCGGGCAGGCGATCGGAAACACCATGCCGGTGGCCCGCTGGTTCCCCAGCCGCACGATTTGCTTGATCATGGGACGACTGGCCTCCGAATACTTGCGACACAGTGCCTGCTGACACGCCAGCGCCTGAAACTGGCACTCCGGCAAATTCTCGGTGGCAGACTCGGTTTCCTGCGATTGAAGCACCCCCTGCGTAGCAACTGGTACGCCAGACGCACATCCGCTGGGCGACGAAAGCAGACAGCCTGCGGACCTCGCCTCATCAAGAGGGTGAGCAGTTCAGCCTTACTCTTCACATTGGCCAGAAACTGCAACCGATCCCCGTCCACCAACACCCGATCCAGTTCCCCGGTGTGATCAGCCAAGGTCACAGTAGCCAAAATGGACGCTTCTTCTTCGCGGATGGTTTGGCAGCCCTGCTGCGCGTGGCGCTTGCAATGTCCAGTGACCGGGTCGCCACAGTTCTTGTGCGGAACGTACATTGGATCCCCCAGAATGTCCGTCACCCAGACGCTGTTCAACTGCACTTCGATGAAGTCGTCCTGCGCCTGTGAGGAACAAGCCGAACCAAGACACAAACCATGAGAAGCGATGATTCCGTGAACCCAACCTGAAAGCAACCCCATCAAAAAAGAAAGCAACGAGTTAATGGTGGTCCACTGTATTTTCCACATATGTCTTCGATGTCAAAAGACAATACGGAAGCTACATCATCTTTCCCTACGGCGGAGCGGCCTCCAGCATCGCATCCGTCAGCGCCAAAGAGCATGAAGAGACAGTGGCGCAGCAAGATATGAACTTCTCCGATCCATCCGACACCATGCACAACGCTGTCACTACCGAGAGGGTGAGTGATTCCGAGAAGGGAAATAAATAAAATCGAGTTGACCAAGAGCCATGACTTCTTTATATTAGAGAAAATATATGTAGAAAGAGAGAAAGAGAGGGCGGGGAAGGAGGGACAGTGTGGATGCGCTGATATAGATGCGCAGATGTGTGGGTGTGTGGAGGTGGAGAGGTAGATCTGCAGATGTGAGCGTGAGGGTGTATGATGTGAATGCACGTGCCATGTCATATGTGTACGCAAAATTCAAGTTTAATTCCGCATGGCACTGTGACATCAGGGACATAGTTTCGCCACACCGTCTGTCACAGACAAGAAGTAAACATATCACATGATACCACCAAGCATCCCGCTCACCAGCGACACGCCGCGTTTACACCAGCAGGTTTCGCGCCCCCCAGTGGCACAGCGCCACGCAGAGGCACTTTCCACCAAGGCCGTGCAAATCCGCATGGCACTGCGACATCACGGACGTAATTCGCCACATGGTCTGCCAACACACTAGGAGCAATCCTATCACATGATACCGCCGATCACCCCGCTCACCAGCGACATGCCGCGTTTACACCAGCATGTTTCGCGCTCCCCGGTGGCACGGCGCGCGCAAACCCGCATGGCACACTGC